TAGATGATTACAAAGGCTCAATAGCTATGTGCATATGATCATATAATGTTTATTGAAATGAACTCCAAGAAATGGAAACAAGAGGTTTGGGGGCTTTTTTGGGTTGTTTTTTCTTCTTTTGCTTCTATTTTTGTTTTCTGTACCTTTTTCTTTTTTTGTTTTTTTATTGTAAAAATACTGTACAGAGGGGTTATCATTACATGAGCAAGGTAATGAGTACATTTCTTATGGAGCATTGTTGCCTCCTCCTTTGTTTTTCCCCTACCATCTCTTCCTTCTAACCTTCACAAGTGTCCCTCCACCTCCTGCCAAAGTTGTAAAGTTCATTTTCAACATAGTGTCTTGTATATCTCATTGAGTTTATCTGTTTTGGGGAAGATAAGGGGGACGCACAGAAATGGAACAAAGTGTGAAAAATGCAGCAGTGATACTCACTAGACACTGTGTTGAAAATTACCTATACAACTTGGGAAGGTGGGAGGGAAAAACTGGGAGAAAGCAAGAGAAAGGATAACACCATTCTAAAAGAAATGTACTCATCACCTGACTTATGTAACTGTAATCCTTCTGTATATCACCTTTACAACAACAATAAAAAATGCAAAATGGCAAAACTAAAACTAAGTTGAGCATAAATTTACTATATGAATAAATTATTCCATTTTCAGACTTCTATCCCCCCAAATGCCTAATTTTATGTACACTCCAAGATAGGTACATGAATGATTGTAGTAGCACGTAAGACATTACCAAAATCAAAGTAGACACAAACAGGAGATAGATAAGCAAAATATGATATAGACTCGCAGTGGAGGCTATTCATTTACTATTCAAAATAAAATGAAATAGCAATATATAAAATGTATCAACACAGATGAACTTCAAAATATAATGCCAAGTTACAGAGGTAAGATGCAAAAGATGAGTACATATTATATAGTTCCATTGATAGGAAATAAGCAGAAGTAGAAATTTTATGGTGTCAAACGGATTATCAAGTGATGCTGCAGTGAAAGAAATGTTCTAGAAACCTGGATTGTGGCTAGTTCCATAACTCTAATTTTGCTAAAAATCTGATTAATGTACTTTTCCAATGGGTAAATTTTATGATACGTAAACTATACCTAAATGAAGCTAATAAAATAGTAACATCAAAAATGTCTTTCCCATTCTGTCTTTCTCTTGAGTGTCAGATCATGGTTTTAATGCATGTTTAGTGACTTTGTTTGGTGGAGTCAGAAGGGGCTCAGAGAAGTAACAAAATCAAATACCAGTTGGGAAGACATGACAAGTACTAGTGTCAGCTCTGACAATGGTGATTCATCAATTAATCACTAAACATTCAAAATCTTGTTTCCCACTCACTGTCTCAGATCTTCATGCTGGCATATTTAGCATTTTCACTTGTAATCATCATCCTTTCAAATTGGAATAAGGATTAATTAATTATAATGGTGCCTTTAAACACAACCTATATCAAATATCCTGGTAACCAAGAATTTTCCTATATTCAAGAAAAACTAAAAAGTCTTTCGTGTCTGCTTTGGGACCCAAAAGAAAGGGTTTAAATCAACCCCAATTTATTTCATCTGGCTTAGATACATTATGTGGATGTATTAAATTGACTTCTTTAAGAGTCTGCTTTGGATAAGAAGAATTTCTTTATAAAAAAAAATCTAATTGGGCCTAAGTGTGCCATCAGAAGGAAAGGATATGGTATCAGAAGGTAGTGGTTTAAAAATTGGCCCTGATAAAACCAATAATGTGCACTTATCTTAGGGCTTGAACTCAGAGCCTGGGTGATATCCTTGAACTTGTTGCTCAAGGGGTAGCTTCCATAGCTCCACTTCCATTCTTTCTTTTAAAGGAGGGTGCTTACTTGTAGATAAGAATCTCACAGATTTTTCCTGCCCAGACTGACTTCAAACATGATCCTCATATCTTATGCTTCTGAGTAGCTAGGATTATAGACATGAACCAGTGTCACTGGCCTGTGAATTTATCATTTTAGTATTACATGATTTACACTCTGGGACAATTCTTCCTACTCAAAAAAACTGAATGTGATAAGTATCATAGTCTCTATAATGTTTGAACAAAGAATATAGTCAATATGACAATCAAGTCTTTCTATGAGTTTGACTCCAGTCTTTCTACCTAACCACATCTCCCAGTACTCCTCAAAATAAAATACTTATATCAATAAATCCAGACTTCTCATCAACCTCTACTGTGCAACAACCCTGGTCATTCTTGTCTTCTGGACTGCCTCATCCCCAACTCTATCTTTAGTATTCCTACTAAACTTTCAAGACAGCTTGCAGCTCATCTTCTCCATGATGTTTATGCTGAACTTTAACTCTTTAAACAATTCATAATGTCTTTAATTATATACTTTTAACATACTATAACTACTTGCACATATCTTCCTCTGGTTTAAAAGATATTTAGTTTTAGAAATACATTAGGGCTTACATTAACTTGTTATATAGCCCTACAGTGCCTCTTGAAAAGTGTTAACTAAAAGTTTAAAACTTTAAAACTAAAAGTTTTACTGAGAAACTCTGTAAGAAGTCATTTTAAGAGAATATAGAAGTCAAATTTTCTCATTTTATACGTGAAAGGTCCCCAAAATGGGGACATGAAATTCAAGGTCATACAAGTAGTTTCATGTTAGAGGGAAAAATAATTTCGTTTTCCTGTGGCACAGATTTCAGCTACCTGTCAATATCAAGTCTCATCCATATATACAGGACTACCAATTGTCAGGTGAGAGGTGGTCACTCAGAAGTAAAGTTGTCATTTCTTAATATTCATTTACTTAAATGTAGATAGGAGTTCTATTAAATGAGAGTGTCGTATAACTACTTCCTTCTCTTCTTCTCCACTTCCTTCATCCGGATGCCTAGAACATGGATTTAATAATAGAATTCTACATTGGATCACAAGACAGAGGATCACTTCCCAAAGACAACAGAGAAGAAAAATGAATAAATCTGATGCCTAGAGGCCTTCCAGGAACAGAGCCACAGTATTTCCTCTGCCTTGTTTACACTCCAACTTTTATAGAGAAAAGAAAGGAGTTTCTGTTTTGTTATTTTAATGGTTAGTTTGATTGTCTATTATAGGAAACTTAACTTATTTTATCATTACTCTTATTGGCTTTCTGCTGCTCTCCACCCTTTACAATATCACCAGACATACCATTCTTTTATTAATTAGACCAGTCAATGTACACTTACATTCTGTCTGACATAATTCTAGGAGGCGATTTGGATAAAAACCAGAATGAAATATTCAGATCATATTCTTATACATCATGAGTGTTTAATAAACTTTTCATTCTCTTAAATCATAACAATTCAGCTATCTATCAAAAATTCATCTCAGAATTTCTTTAGCAGTCCATCTTAATCTGATAGTCTCTGGTAACATATTGTTGGTTGGTCTAAGAACATCTAGTATGTTCTATTTTGCCCCATTTTCATCTACTATCCTTCTCCACTCTTTGCTTTGCTCTGAGAGGATGTAGTGTATAGGCTATACTACTGGGTTCTCTTGTCACCTGACTTTTGGCTGGGTTAGCCTTCATGGGAGATCAGTGAAAGTTAAGAAAAGGACTATGTGTATTGTGTACCTAACATTTTGGTCAATGACAGACCACATATGTCACCTAGGGCTGTGAAAGCCATTTTAGTTTCTATAAAAAATACTTCAGATATTCACACAATAAGAAAAGGTGGCATTTCTTAGAATATATCCTTATGGTTAAGCAATACATGGTTATATTTTTCTGTGAGGCCATTCAGATTACCTATATTTTAAACTAAAAATAACAGTTCTATCCCAGTGGCCCACCAAATAATTCTATGCTTGAGCTCTGGTAACTGTTCCTTCCTTCATATCCTGTAACCTGTTATTGGCTGTAGGAAACTCCATTATATATTGTGCATACTGCCTGTACCTTGTAAACAGCCTATTTATTAAACCTTCCTCTTTGAATTATCCAAATCTGAGCCTATTGTTTCCTGCTAGTATGTTGACTGATGCACCTAGAGTCCATACTTTAAGTTCAAAGTATAGATACCAGATATAAATGGCATGTACCAGAAGAACTGATAGGGAGGTAAGAGTAAAGCAAATATATTTTGTGAGATCTTAGTATATAGCTTACCTCAAAATATAAAAATATCATGACCAACTTTGGCTCTAGGAATATGAGGAATAGATATGCTTTCTTTCTTTCTCTTTCTCTTTACTTTTGACTGTTTCCTAGGTTTATCTAGAAGTAGGATGCATTTCTATGTGGAATTCACAGTTACCAAGCAAAGCTCATTTTTATACCACACATACCAGAAGCCCATTGGATAGTCATTTCTGATATTTCTACTAGTACATTTACGTAAGACTTTCAGTATTCCTACTTAGGGGTACAAAAATACATACTACTTAGAGACTAAAATGTAAAATCAAATGATCACCTGCTTATTCTTTATTATCAACCAAAGTATTATTGACAAAAAAGAACATTTTTTTAATTAAATGAGAAAGTTTTCATAAATACGATATAATAACTTCTTATTCTGGTTTGGTCAGGAAGAAGAAAGAGGAAGACAAGATATTTTAGGGAAAATAATGCTCCAGTCCTAAATCCCATAACTCATGAATATTTTGCTTTATATAACAAAGATACTTTCTAAGTATGATAAAGTTAGAAATCTTGAGATGAGAGATTATCCTAGATTATTTTGGTAAACAGTGCAATAAATCACATGGTAAGACAACATATTTTAAATCATTAAATTATTACTTAGATAATTATTCTTGATTTCTATTATTACTTAAAAGAGTTAAAGTATTAAAAGTTCCAATACATTAATCTTCAAAGTACTAATATATATTATTTGCACTGTATAAAAAAAACTAATTGATAAATCTCTATCTCTATCTCAAGGTTGCCTGTTTCTAAATGGGCACCCAAACCAAGGTGCTAGGCTTACCACGCTCTGGCCCAGCTGCTCCCGAAAGAAATAGTCCAGGTTTCTCTTTTGGAGGCTGTCAAGGTAATGCTGGAAGCGAGTGTACGTATACGGGTAGCAGTAAGCAAATTGGTAAATATCTTCTTCTCGGTCAAAACAGAATGCAAAGGACATCACATAGTTCTTCCGATGGTCTGGACAGCGGTAGTAGTACACATTTTTAGGTGGCAGCCTTTGCCTGAAAAATAAATATGAGTTTAAGAGATAGCAGTTCAGACCTTAAAGCTAACAAAAGGTACAAATGCCTAGAAGAAAAACTTCTAACAGCAAGAACCTCTCATGAGTGTGAGCCTAGAAAGCCTAGCAAGATCCTGCCTAAAAGTAAGCAGGAGGGAAGAACGGCAAGCTGGCAGATTAGAAGCACTTTCCATTTTCACTCTGTGAATGAGCACAGTCTTGTATCATAAAAGAGACTAGATTTAAAGAGAGAAAGAGAAGAAGGAAGCTGGAAATCATGAAAGAGGTGATGGGGAGGCAGAAAACCGCAGAAAAACTATGTCCTCAGCAGAAAAGCATCAAGGAGTCCAGAGCTGGTCTCTGGCTCCTCCAACTGAGGGACAGAAATCAAAAACTGTAATACAAGGTAAAATTGACAGGTCCTACTTATGGACCCCAAACTCTAGCTGTTGAAAAAGTCCACACAAGGTATAAACCTTAATCCCTGTAGCTTGTTACAGGGATTGTCTTTGTTAAATGGCAACTCCTTTGCACAACAACTTAAAGATAATAGAAAAGCATGTTGTGGTTTATCTATGGCAATAGCTTTTGCAGCTAAGCTTCCTCCCCCTTCCAGAAGACTTCCACATTTCAATCTTGAGGATTGAAATTCATTACTTGGCAGCTGAGATGGCATCCCTCCATTCTAGCAACAAGAAAAGATACTACAACCCAGGCATTACCCAATCTCAAGTAATTTGCAAGAAATCACCAATGGAAAGGGTACAGAAGTTTGAAATCTATATCCAAAATTGGCCCAGATACATGAATCCCAGTGGAAAAAAATCACTAAATTTATGAATAAAGAAGGCAGCACAGTTTTCTTCAAAAGCCAATAATTCTACAATAGAGGTTTTAAGTCATAGTGAAGCTAAAGTTCCAACAACACACTCAACACACACACACACACACACACACACACACACACACAAAACCCCAAAGAACTGTCAATGAAATAAAGGAGGCAATGTTTAAATACCTAAATAAACTCAAAAAGCATGCAAACAGGGTTATTCTGATTGAGACCCAAAATATGCATCTCTGAAATACTATAGTGAAACCATTTGGTGCAATTAATATATACAATTTTAAAACTGAATGACAAAGAAAATAAAACAGTCTTGGATGGAAGGATTAGCCAGTAGTGTGTTGGGGGAAGGTGTGGGGCAGACTAATAAAGAGGGCAAATGAGGATGAACAGTTCAAACTAGTTTATTAGCAAGTATGAAAATAGAACAATTAATCCTGTTGAATATATTTTAAGAAGAGGGTGTGGAATATAGAGAGTGGTGGCAGGAGATGATTGTGATTTACATGTATAGAAATGTCACACATTTTCAAGGGGAGAGCCCCCATTGTACAATTCATGTATGCTAATCAATTTTTTAAAAAGAGCCCTGAGTCATGAGCGTAGGAGAATGATACATCACATAGCCAATACCAGACCTGAATTTGGCAACATTTTGTTCAAACTCTAGCCCCTGTTCTTTATCAATTGTTTGGAAAATGTGAAGTTAAGCAAAATTGAACTCATTTTACAGATGTATTTATCTTTATTTGAAATACATATATGCCCAGGCAATACACAAGCTCTGGATGTACAATAATGAATATGACAGACAAAGTCTTGGTCTTCATGGAATGTATATCTTCTAATGGGGAATACTCAATAAAATATTAACAACAAGTCTGTATACTTTCAGACTCTAAAATTTTCTTGAGAGAAAACAATGTGATGATAGAGAAACATTGACACATGAGGCCCACTTTTCCAAGAAAAGTCAGGGTTTTCTTTTTTCTTCTTTTTTTTTGTATTACAAGACTAAGCATTTTAAAAATAAACTACTTAACACCTTGAGAATATCAAAGAAGGGAAAGGAATACTCAACATTACTCTACATTAGTACTATTATTTTTCCACAGAACATTCCATTTCCACAGAAATACTTTAGGAAATACTGATAGAAATATGCTGGACAGGCAAGTTTGTTACCCAGGAATGCTCATTCTCTAGCAAGGGAACACCAATATATTCACAAGGAAAGGAAAACTTCCAGGCAGAGGTCCCACAACTTGTTGACACTTATCCATTCTGCAGACTCTTCAAGCTTTTCCAGGCAGAATGGCTCTTATCTTTCTCCGTCCTACTCCCAAGCCAGCATTCTAATCTAGTTATGCTACAGACCCTTCAGCTATTCATCATTCTAATTAGATCGCAATCCTAACAGTCCTATATTGAAATTCTTGTCCTACCAATGATAAAATGACACAAATAATGGTTTTCAAGGTGTATGGGAAGTGAGAAGGAAAGTCATTCTCCCTTGTTTCTTCTAAATGTGGAGTATTAGAGAATGAGCAGTTCCTGGGAGGCTAACAGAGGAAGTAATGACTTCCAAGACAGGTGGTTATTGAGTTGGTTTTTATATTCAGCAAATATTTAAGTATTATGTACTAAGCATAGTTTGGTTAAGATAAAGCATAGTTTGGTAAAGGACATTGTAGACAAAAAGGCTAAGATTAACCATGAAAAATGGAAAGGTTTGGAGAAGAAATGAGGTAGTGAAAAACCAAGATTAGTAAAGAAGTAACAGGATGAACTATGAAAAAGAGATAGAATATACATTGCTCTTCATTTGCAATGTGCTTGGAGATACGAAAATGCAGTTGGCAGAATAACCTATTCTTACTAGTTCAGATTTGTATTTAGGAAAAACACCTACCTGGTGTATCTGGTTTGTGGTAGTCACTAAGGGCCTAACTCAAAGATCTGAATATGAGTCTCTAGTAGCCCTAGTCAGCATTCATTACTACACAGGTGATTCCTAAAGCTATAAGGTCCCTGAGGTTATGATGCTATTTTCAACTCTTCACTTACCAGTATATCTGCACAGGGCCCATGTTTTAAATCCAGTCACTCTCGTTTTCTCTCTCATAGCCAAGTTTAGCAGTTTGACTCTGTGAGACTGTATCTTCACTGAATTTGATTATCTTCTATCAGGAGAATCATCTACTGCCTGGAGCTGTCCCAGCTGCTCTCCAGAGTGGGTCAGAATGCCTAACCTGATTAGCAGAGGGAGTGGAGGTAATAGGCCCTGGGTAATCATTCAGGGAAGTTGAGATGCTGCTCGGGTTTAGATTTTCCAGACCCATCTAAGTATACAAACATACCAATTTGAGAAGAGTTTAGTATGACAAACTCATCAGGACTTTTAAATAAAGCAAAGAATAAAGGCAAAGGAGGCTGAGATTAGGGAGGAGATATGTCTTTTCCCTTTGGAATGCATTTTTAATTTTCTCTTATTTTTTCACATATTTTCATTTTGTTATTTTTTTCAAATTCCTTATTGTGATTAAGTGATTACCTAATTTCCCAAATTTCACAGTATTGTGGGATAGTGATGCTCAGTTAAAGTCACAAACACATTCTAACTTTCATCAGGCAAATTCTCTATTGTCGTCCTAACATTTATGAGTTCTATGAGCTTTGCAATAAAGTTCTTTCTTCCACATTTGGTGATATGTACATTTCTTTTGTTTTGCATAGCATCAGCTATTCCCTCTTTCCCACTCATTCCCTCCCTCCCATCACTGCCATTGAGTTGCTTAGTTCATTTTGATCAATGTCCAGTGCAGCTGGTGGGTCCCACTGTTGTATGTTTTTCCCTGATTCGCTCTAGTTCTGTGTCCTCCTCCTGTTTTCCCTCCAGTGTGATCATATATACCATGTATATGATCAGCAGCATGGGGTTATTTAGTAGTGATTCGACCAGATGAGTGGAAGTCCTTTGTTTCTTAAGCCTTGTTAATTTTGTCGTATTACCTTACATTTTGGATTTAACATCCACTTATCAGGGATACCATGTGTCTTTGTCTCTTTGCTCTTGGCTTACCTCAGTCAACATGATTTCTTCTAGCTCCATCCATTTCCCTGAAAATGCCATTATTTTGTCCTTTCTAATGGCTGCATAATATTCTATTGTGTAAAAATACCACAATTTTTGGATTCATTCATCTGTGGTGGAATATCTGGGTTGTTTCCATATCCTGGCTATTGTGAACCATACTGCAATAAACATGGAGGTGCATGTGCCCTTGTATACTGGTTCCTGTTGTTCAGGATAGATGCCTAGAAGTGGTATGACTGGGTCATAAGGGAGGTCAATATTTAGCTTTCTGAGGACCCTCCAGACAGCTTTCCAAAGTGGTTGTATAAGTGTACATTCCCACCAGCAGTGTAATAGGGTTCCTCTTTCTCCACATCCCCTCCAGCATTTGCCGTTGGCTGACTTTAGGATGTGGGCCATTCTGACTAGGGTAAGGTGGTATCTCAGGGTTGTCTTTATTTGCATTTTCTTTACAACCAGGGATGGTAAACATTTCCTCATGTGTTTCTTTGCCATTTTGATCTCTTCTTCTGAGAAGTCTCTCTTTAGTTCCCTTGCTCATTTAGTAATTGGTTTGTTAGGTTTGGGAGGGATTAGTTTCTTGAGTTCCCTGTATATACTGGATATTAACCCCTTGTCTGATATATTGCTGGTAAATATTTTTTCCCAGTTAGTTGGTTGTCTTTCTAGCTTGGTTGCTATAGCTTTAGTTGTGCAGAAACTCAAGTCTCTCTCCAATTTGTTGTGACCCTGGGACTCTGTTCAGGAAGTTCCTGCCTGTGCCTATAAGTTCAAGTGTCTCACCTACTCTGTCCTGCAGTAGTTTCAGAGATTCAGGTTTAATGTTAAGGTCTTTAATCCATTTTGAGTTGATGTTTGGTGCATGGTGATAGGCTGGGGTCCACTTTAAGTTTTCTGCATGTGGCCTCCCAGTGTTGCCAGCACCAGTAGTTGAACAGGCTGTGTTTCTTCCACTGTATGTCTTTGGCTCCTTTGTCAAATATCAGCTGACTGTAGGCTGTGGTTTTACTTCTGGGTCTTCTAATCTACTCCATTGGTCTTCGGGTCTGTTTTTGTG